CAGTTTAGTTATGGGGAGGTCTTAACTTCTGAAGAAGTAATGAAAAGGTTGATAGAAGCTGAAGAAAAAAAAGATAAGAAAAATTCACTTGCAAAAAAGAGAACACAAAAAAATACAGATAATGTAAAAAAAACCAAGAAGTCAAGAGAATTAGAGGAAGTAAATCCAAGTCAAGTAGATAAAAGTAAGGATATCTACGAGGATAACACCGATGACGATACTGAAGAACAATTCATAATTGAAATGGAAATGGAAAATACACCTGAGGTAAACTACGAACCACCTAATTATAATGAGATCGTTCCAGGTTCATATGTGCTAGCAGACTTTGTAGGTGGGAAAAGAAATAAAACTCACTATACTTACCTGTGTGTTGTGAATAATTTAGTGGGAAAAGAAGAATTTTGTGTTACTGGAATGAAGAGTGTTAACAATATTAACACTGAATTTATTATAATTGAAAATGACATTTCAAATATTCCATTTTCTGCAATAAAAGCAATGCTACCACAACCTACAATTGAATCACGTGAACGCAAGCTAATTTATGTTTTTCCAGGTTATGTATCTGTAAATGAAAAGAAGTAGGTAGGCATTTTCAAAATAAAATATCTGTATTAAAACATGTCTTTAGTTATTGATTAGGGGTAATTGTAAACAACGATCTAGTCTGTTAAATTTCTATGGTTAGTTAGCTACCTAATTTGTTTACAATTCCCCGAAGTTTTACTCCATTTGCCTTCATAGTTTATTAAAATAGTGTTCACAATTACCCCAAAGACTTGGGGGTATTTGTAAACTGATGGGGTAATTGTAAACTTGTTTTTAAACAAATAAAGTCACGTTTTTAACATTTCATAGTTGCATAACGTGAAACAAAAGACATCAAATAACGTTGTTTTTATAATTTAACTTCGAAAAATTAACATTTCCATATTTTATGAAAATATACTGTCCAGACTAGCAAAAACCGTTTACAATTCCCCCACTTGACCCTAAAAGTTCTAAACGATTATCACTTCGGTATGGTCATTGGTCAATTCTGCCGAATTAACCGCACTGTCGTTCGTAGTACAAAAACTATTTCTTTTGTTAGTATATTTGTAACTTTAACTTCTCCTGACTCGGTCTTATTTTCGAATACAATACGGTTTTGTCAGCAAACTCTAAAAGTTTTCGTGAACGCGACTTCATTCTATAAGCAAGAAGATTTAATTTTCTCAAAACAAATTACACGTTGGTAACTCCACCGCAAAGTGTATTTGACAGTCGGACTTAAATGTGCTTTTAAACCAAACTTGGAGTTGTGAAATCTGCTAATCACGCGATGGTTTATCAGCTTAACACCTACCGCAATTCGCAAGTTCAATTATTGAACTACTTTAAGGACGGTGTGGCTCGTACGTAAACCAAAGGGGTTGCACACGAGTACTTTTCCTGATTCCACAATACTTAGGATCCAAAATCAGCTGTGGTAGGACAAAATCTGAGGCAATTCTAACGCAAGTGTTGGCCCCAAAAGCATTGGAAAAAATATTGAATGCACTTCAAGAAAAGCATTTATACTTCTCTGTTCAACTCGACGCATCAAATCATTTAAACAGAAATTTTTCCCGTTAGTGTTACAATGCTACACCATAGAAAATGGCATAGAAAATAAATTGGTAGATTTTTTTTAACTAAATAATCGTAATTTGCCCTTAACAAATATAACCAGTTTTAGTGCTGATAACACTAATTCTAACTTTGGCTGCAGAAATTCCTTGTATATGTAAAGTTAAGGAATGAAAATAATAGAATATTAAAAGCCAACTGTTATGCTCATACTTTACATAACTGTTTCAAACATTCATTGGACGAACTTTCAATTGATTTAGAAAATATAGTAACGAAACTTTCATTTTTTTGCTAAAAGCGCAAAACGGAGGGAATCTTTGATATCATTTTTTACTTTTTGTGAAGTAGAATTTAGGGAATTGTTGAAACATTGCACAACTAGATGGCTTTCACTATTACCAGCTATCGAAAGAATTTTAGTCTTGGGAACCAATCAAAGAGTATTTCGAAGATTTATCAGGAAACAATCAATTGCCTAAGTTATACGTAAACGTATTGACCATCACAGAACATAAAATTAGCAATTTAATTGAAATTTATTTATTATTTGTTCATCACTTTGGTAATACGAGTATATTTCAAATTGCAATTAAAAAGCTCGAATCAAATAATACAACAATATTGGAGCTTTTCGGTGTTCTTGCGGTTCATTTGCCTATTATATGTCAATTATATCTGTCATATGTGATATATGAAGCAGTCTATTACGCCCAAGGCCATAATGAGAGGGCATAATGGATTGTCATCTCATTATGCCCTCAAACGGCCTGTCAAATTGATTGACGGAGTTATATTATGTCATAAAAAAGATGCAACTTGATTCGTATGGAGCACTTTAGTGTTGGGCAAACAATAATCATGACATTTGTATATTGGAAATGCATTCTTTGGAATGATGAAAAATAAAATGTTGTATGCACCTCAGGCATTACTCAATATTTAACCCTCGGGCGACTTACAATCCCTCGGGCCGGAGGCCCTCGGCATAAATATCGCCTTAATGCCCTTGATGCATAAATAACTATAAAAGACAGAATAGAACATAACATCGGTCTTGAATTTCTCAAAAAACTGGACGTTTTTGCATTAAAAGATGCTTTCCCAACATTCGAAAATTTCACCAGTCTGATCGATGCTTTAAAACTGGACAATGAATTTGGTGTTGGTTCGCCTATAAATTGTGACTATCTTTTTAATGAAATAGTGTCTGCGAAAAAAATTTACGAAACTGTATGCAGTGCTTCAACTTTTAACCAACTTCCTTGTGCTGAAAAGTGGTGCAATATTTTAAAATGCGGTGAATTTCCAAATCTGTTTACGTTTATATCATTTTTTTTTAAGTATCCCCAGTAGTTCGGCATTTTCTGAAAGAGTTCACAGCGTAATGAACATTAAATGGAGAGATGAAAGGAACAGGGCCCTTCCGGCATTAATTAAAGCGGAATTATTAGTTTATTTTAATAATCAAGATAATGGTTCCCAATTTTATAATGATATAAAACATGACAAAGCATTGCTGCGTTGTGCAAAAAGTAACCAGAAATACATATTTAAAAAGTACTAGCGTTTTTTTTTTAATTATTTTTGCAATTTAGGTACCGTAGTGCCAGGATCACGTGATCAGGTCCTGCTCCTGCCTGCTTAGTGTTATTTGTCCTCGTCTGGAACTTAAGAAAGGTGGCAACTCTAATCCCGACTAACGAGTGTGCCGCCCCGATATCATACCCTCCGTATCTCTGTGGTTTTGAACTGCTCCCTGGTCATTTATTATTAATCTTTCAATTGCAGCTTTAGCCGCCGATACACCGGCTACGTGCAAACCGCCTTCTGGTTTCTTTAAGGTGGGGTGTGCGCGCACCCCAAGTTGCAAATATTTGTTGATATTTTTAGTTATAGCCAGTTGAGGCTCATGGAATTCCTTTACATTGTTCTTTGATGTCTTTTGTACGAAGTGTAAAAAACAAAAATTGTAAATTTTAGTTATTAGCCTATAAATTTTGAAAAATCGGAGCGAAAGTACGCGTGGGGTGTGTGCGCACCCCACCCGGTAATACGTGTATGTGAAATTTGGCGACTAATTTTTTCAAAAATGTTGATATATTTTGAACGTTATTAGTATGATAAATTGCATTAACTTATTTTTATTGGAATTTTGATACATCATCATACTTTTCTCTTTCTAATTTGTTCATTAGCATTCTTTATTTAGATAACTTTTATATATTATTATATAATTACTGCAAAATTCATACAATTCTGCATTCTGATCTAATCGTGTCATTAGAATTCTTTGCAATTTGTGCATTTAGGAAAATCATCATGGTCTAATTACAATGAGTAATTAGCGATTTTTGTGGTTACCCATAATTATACATAGATTGAAATATCTTTCTCTTTTGGGGTATATAAGGACATGAAAAATCGGGAAATGTTTGTATTGTTACCGTGATTTGCGCGTGTAAGTGTATAGTACGTATTCCAAAGAATTATTGTGACAATTGCGACTTCTCAATGGCGATGCCAGGTTCATCCCGAACAAGAAGGATTCTTGAATTAGCTGCTTCTAAATCCAGTGAGTAACTTTTTTTGTTGTATAAGTAGATGTAAATTTATTTGGTACTTTTTCTTTATTCAGATGAGGAGTTTGATGGATATGTCAATGAAGATCTAGATGACGAACAGCTGCAGGATAGTTCCGAGACAGAGGATAACTTGGAGGAAATTGTAGAAGAGGATGACGAAATATCTAATGATACTGACGAGGACGAAATAATGGACATCGATTTGCAGGACATCTTTGGTAAAGATGACACTATCTGGCTGAAGGAACCCACCAGTAGGAAAAGAACTTGTTCAAAGAATGTGATTAGAAAACCATCAGGACCGGCTCGATCAATATTGCCCTCAAGCAGTATGGCAGATCTATTCAAACTTTTCATTTCTCCTGAAATAGTTGAAGAAATAGTCACTTATACAAACCAAAGGGGTAGTCTAGAGATACAAAATCGAAACAATAGTGAGAATGCGATGGCCTGGAAAAACGTAAACGAAATTGAAGTATACGCATTTATGGGTTTACTAATCTGTGCTGGAGGTTTGAAAAGTAACCGGGAACCAGTAAAGATGCTGTGGAATGACGATTTCTGTTTCAAGCAGCCTATATACTCAGCAGTGATGCCCCGGAATCGCTTTTGTCAAATATCGAGTTGGATGCGATTTGATAACGCAAATACCAGACAAGAACGAAGAGAGAAAGATAAATTGGCACCAATCCGGGATATTTTCGAAAAGTTTGCAAAAAATTGCCAGAAGCAGTACAATCCAGGCTTCTACCTAACAGTAGATGAACAATTGTTGCCGTTTCGTGGCAGGTGCCCTTTCAGGGTATATATGAAAAGCAAACCTGCCAAGTATGGTATAAAAATTTGGGTTCTTGCCGACTCCGAGACATCATACTGCAAGAATTTGCAGGTATATCTTGGTAAAGTAGGAAACGCTCCAGAACGTGACCAAGGAAGAAGAGTTGTATTAGATTTAGTTTCTGTTTTGAATCCCGGTCACGGTATCACTATGGACAACTTTTTCACCTCTTTAGAGTTAGCCGAGGAATTGGTTGACAAAAAATTAACATTATGTGGAACTTTACGGCGCAATAAGGCTTACATACCTGCAGATTTTTTGCCTTCTAGAAACCGACCTATATATTCCTCAATTTTTGGATTTCAGTCAGAAGTCAGTATGGTATCATATGTACCAAAAGTAAATAGGGCCGTTATATTATTATCTACCGAACATCGAGATATGGGTATTTCTCAAGAAACCCACAAAAAACCAGACGTAATAATGCATTACAATGCTACAAAGGGTGCGGTTGACACCTTGGACAAGATGGTAGCGGAATACAGTTGCAATCGACAATCTAAAAGGTGGCCAGCAGTGATGTTTATGAATTTGATTGATATAGCAGCCGTAAATGCCTTTGTTTTATGGCAAAATCTCAATCCGGAGTGGAATGCATCATATCTGGACAAGAGGCGGTTGTTTCTTTTGGAACTGGCGAAGGAATTAGTAGGACCTCATATAAGAAACAGAGTTGGAGACCCCGCTATATATTGCAGGTTAACTAAGATGACAAGGAACAACATAAACAGTGTATTAGAAACTATTAGCCTCAACAAAGACGAAACCCAGGAGAGTGAAATTCGACCAAACGAAGAGCAGCCAAAAAGTGGAAGGAGATGTTATGGATGTCCAAGGAGCAAAGACAAAAAGGTGAAGACAACATGTGCCCAGTGCAAGAGGAATGTATGTCCATTACACAGCAAAACCGTTACACTATGTAAAGATTGTGAAAACTAAGTGTAATTATGTACATATGTTTAGACAAATTTTGTAAATTTCATTATATGTTTTTTTGATAACTTTTCTATATTTTATTCCTGTAAACAACAAAGTTAATTGAACAAAAATGTTTATTATAACACAATGTAACACCAGTAATAAACATATGCCAACACAAATCCGCATTAACAATGTAAAACGGCTGGGGTGCGCTCACACCCCACTTGGTGCTAAACGTTTTAAATTTTACCCGGTATTAGGAAGGTTAAGCTTATTCGCGATTCCCGCAAACAGCTGACCGGCCGGGCGTCCCAACATTACGAGGGTTGCGTATAAAGTTTTGTGTTACTTTAAATGACATTGCTTTATTCTGTATTTCAATTCGATTTAATTGAATTACAATTTATTGACTCCGAATTATTTCAACTGAAGCTATCCGAGGCTGTGGAAACCAGCCGGGCCACCACAAGGGCATCAGATGAAAACGACACCTAGATCCCGATAAATTAATACTGTACATTTAAACAGAGAGCGAAATTAGACACATTTAAGATTAAGGCCCCCACACTTTCATTGTAGGGAAGTCCACTATGTTTATTATAGAGTAAAAAAACATGTAACTGGTATTTACGAGTATATTGGCGGAGTGTGTAACAAATGTTATTCAAAGATTTGCATTACAAATTCCACCCTCATATTAACAAAGTAATACAATTATGTAAATAGCCCAATTCACTTACTATTTAGATATTAACCCCGTGCAGGTACTGTAAATATTGTCTCATATCTCAGAAACACAGCACAGATGCGCCCATTTGTTATTGTAACTTCGTAGGTTACTACGTAACGCACTTGTGTCGTGGGATATACATTATACTTCTAATCTTCATCTATATGCTAACTACTAACGATTACCAAGTGGATTCGTAGAATAACAGCCTAAATGTCCTTCGGAATGTATTATAGAAAGGGTAACAAGGACTTAATTTGATCTAGGTACAAGCTGCCATTAAGATAGCAACATGCACCGCTTTATAGGTATCATTTTGTTTATAATCCTTGCAGTTCACAAATCTGTTGTTAACTTATCATATCATACAATTACAACGTTTCAGTAAAACGCAAATTCGTAAGAGCGAATTGTATTCTTTATCGACAATTATTGCGGATTTCCAAATCTAGTGCTTGAAGCTCCTGCGAAAGTAAAAAAAAACTTATTGCTGTATGAATTGCAACCAGGGCCGTAGCCAGGAGTAAAGTTGAGGGGGTGCCGACAAAATAATTGGATGTACTGATTTTTGGGAATTTATTTAATATTTTTATTACACCATTAACGCATAAATAAGAAATGTGACTATAATTATTACAGTAATGCTGATTTAGAGAAATAATAATAACAACAAATATACCGTCTACCTATTAATTAATATAGTTGCAATTTTCGATTTTTTTACTATTAAATATTTGCAGAAAATGGTCTAAATTAATTTTTTTTTTATCCTATACAAGGAGAAACTTACATTTTCTCGCCTGTGTGAGAACGCGAAAGAAGACAATTGCACGCATGGAGCGAGAAAATTCAATTTTGTCGGCTAGCCGAGAAAAAAAATACGCCTTATGTAAGCTAGATGGCGCGGTTGTAATAAAATTTGCAGGAAGCGAAATTTCTTTTTAATTGAACAAAGAAGATAATAAAAGCAGTTTAACATTGACTTAATAATTAACTTTTACCTTGTATTTATTTCATTTTACTGAATCATCGATTATAATACACTATAATCCTGAAATTCATTTAATTACATACCTACCTACTCCACCTTCCGTATTTAGAATAGACTTTCGCAATATCACGTGACCAATTCAAACGTTTGAAAGAAATAAAGATTTGCATTTTTTTGATATTGTTACAAAATTTATTAATTGCTAGTGTATTTTACAATGGCGGAGTTATTAGCAGGCCCTTCCAATCTTCACGATGACAGTTCAGATTCATTAATTTGCACACCTGAAGAAATTTCCGAGAAAGCTAAAGAAGTGACTCTGCAATTATTACCTAACAAATCAAAAAAAAAATATGATATACAGTACGATCTTTTTATGAAATGGTGCGCTACCAAACATGTAAAAAGATACAGCGAAAGCGTAGTTTTAGCTTACTTAAGTGAATTATCGGCCAAATACAAGTCGTCAACTTTATGGTCGATACATTCAATGTTAAAAGCGACGCTATCAGTACGTCAGAATGTAGATATTGGAAGCTACGTAAAGGTAAATGCTTTCTTGAAAAAGCAATCGGTAGGGCACATTCCAAAAACATCGAAAACCTTTACATCAACTGAAGTGAATACGTTTTTAAGAGATGCCCCAGATGACATCTATTTGATGTTAAAGGTAACTTGTAAGCATAGAAATTTGTTGCTTAAACTAATCACACAATTATCACAGGTTGTTCTAATAATTGGAATCAGCGGAGCTTGTAGAACGGATGAACTGACCAATTTGTGCACAAATAACATCCAAGACAAGGATGACGTTCTCATTGTGCACATTCATAACACCAAAAACTATAAAGAGAGAACCTTTATAGTTTGCAACTCCAATAAAACGAACGCAACAGACGTGGTAGCAATCTGTAAAAAATATTTTAGTTTACGACCGACAAATTTGAATACAAACCGACTGTTTATTAAATATAATGCTGGGAAATGTGTTGGGCAAAACGTTGGTCATCACACAATTGGTTCCATTCCTTCGAAGATTGCTTCTTTTTTAAATTTGCCTGATGTAAAGGAATACACAGGTCACTGCTTCCGGCGGACATCGACTACACTCCTTGTGGACTCAGGTGCGGATATACTGACCTTAAAAAGACATGGTGGATGGAAAAGCAGTTGTGTGGCGGAGGGATACCTTGAGGATTCCATCCAAACCAAAATTTCAGTTGCGAAAAAGATCTTAAGTACAACTGAAAATTATGAAGAACCCAACAGTAATCCTCGAGCAGGGGCTACACTTACAACAAATGAGCAAGAAGTGACAAGTCGATGCTCCTCTCTAGGTGCTTCTACTTCCACTTCAACCTTTTCTGAACAAATACAAATGTCAGATTTATCTAAACAAGGCATCTCATTTTCTAATTGTACACTCAATAATCCGGTGTTTAACATTACAATTTCAAACAAGTAACACCAAACGTGTATATAAAATCTTTGTAGGTACATATAATAGTTTTAGTAGTTCCTTTTGCAATTTATATTAAAGGATTTGAAATGATTTCTAAAATTTACACGTGCTTTATTACTTACAACTTACAAGGTTACACCGTCAAATGACAAATATCAATAAAATGAACGAATGCGTGTGCGCAAGAACATTTTACATACCGCCTTACTCTATTCTGCCGACTACGCGACATACAAACGCGTATTAATCATTGCCTAAAATAATTTTTAATGTGGTCAATAATAGCACAGATTAACTACAAATAGTATGACCCAAAACAAAATTTTAACCCTTAAATGATAGACAATTCCTGCCGGCGCTATTTTTCTTCAGTATGCTATAAAATACGACTCCTTCTAACACCGTTTGAACATGCACAAATTCTTGTCTGTTATTTAGTGCTATACTTGTCTGGTACGTCATACGGGCATCATTTTAAATGTAATAAGTGTATAGGATAAAAAATATTGTATGCACCACGGCACGAAAGATGTTTTCCGGGCCTCAGGAAGTGGCCAGCCTCGGCTACGCCTCGCCTGGCCATATCTTCCTTCGCCCCGGAAAACATACACTTTCCCGCCTTGGTACACAAAGTACTATTGTAAATTCTTTTCTTTGCAGTTTGACGAGTCAACCGATATGACCGATACGGCACAGTTGTGCATTTTTATTCGGATGGTATTTTCTGATATGTCGGCTAAAGAGGAATTGCTAACAATGCTCTCTCTGAAAGAAAAATCTCGCGAAGAAAACATATACAACGCGTTTATAAATTTTGTGAAACAATATGACTTACCAATCTACAAGCTAGTATGCATTACAACAGATGGTGCACCATCCCAGACTGGCGTTAACAACGGATTTGTTGCGTTATGTCGAGCTAATAATATCTTTCCATCGTTTTTCTCATTTCATTGCATCATTCATCAGTAAGTTTTGTGCTCCAAAATTTTAAATATGGACGACGTCATGAGGGTGTGCACAAAAATTGTTAACTCAATTAGAGCACGAAGTTTGCAACGACGTCTTTTTAAAGCGCAATTTGAAGCTAGCGACTCTGTAGAACACACTTATTTACTTCTACATACAGATGTGAGGTGGTTGAGCCGAGGATAATTTTTAGATAGGTTTCAGGAGCTACTTCCCGAAATAATTTCTTTTCTAGAAGAACGAGGTGACGACACTAGTCTACTTCAAAACGGAAATGGCTCTGTGATCTGGCTGTCGTATCAGATTTGACAAATCATTTGAACATCCTTAATTTGGAACTACAGGGCAAAAATAAAACAACGATATGATGAGTGCAGTACTCCTTTGTCAACAAATTGAAATTATTGATTAATCAAATGAAGTAGATCTCACGCAGTGTTAAGTGTGAGCACCACTTTATAAGTGATTTATGCCCGTTTGCACCGACAAATTTAAGCGGAGCTTAGCTTAAGCGTCCCTTAAAATCCATGGCAACGATTATTGGGACAATGGTTACCATGGATTTTAAGCTACGCTTAAGCTAAGCTCCGCTTAAATTCCTCGGTGCAAACGGGGATTAAATTCACAAAATTGGATTTAAACCTTTGTGACTGAATGAAATACATTAAAATGTTAAAATATTCAACAAATCTTGTTTTTGTAATATCTGACATCCTCAAATAGCTAAATGCTTCACCAACTTGGACGCGATGATTATGCTTGAAATTCACCTGAACATTTAAGCACCTAATGCATTTGTTTACTTTTATTAGACAAAATTAAAACCTTACCTTTATTTGGGCAAAACAATTTAAGCATTTTTATTAATTAATTAATTCATCTCATTTTTCCAATATTTGAGGTTAGGAACGAGATTTTGAAAAACGGTTTTCACTGGCCTCTTTGGGTGTTATTTGGCTACTTTTTCATAAAGAAAAAGTCATATCATTCCATTTGATTTTTTTAGGATTTTGGATCATAGTGACAAAACTAGCCCCCTAGCGGAAAAGGATTCAACTAAATTAACTATATTTTGGTTGATTCTTGTTGCCCAAGGAATGCTCTTTTCAACGATACCAAATTTGTTACAATCGGTCAAACGGGTAAGAGGTTAAAGCAGGTTATTGCAAAAACAATTGAACGCCCCACGCCATCTTTGTTTTTGAAATACTTAACTGAGTTTTTGTTTTTACGAAAATGATAGATAAACTGGTTCTCTTTAAAAGTGTGAAAAAAGAATGTTTAGTTTATTATACGAAATTTAAAGAAAATGCAATTTTAACATTTAAGATGGCAGTTACGTCCTCTGGTGGTAATTTTTAGAACTTGAAAATATTTTCCAGCGATTCTTCATAACTGATTTACCCAATAATTTTTTTACCCCTAAGTCATACGACAAACGGTTCCCGAGATATGGCCGAGGAATAGTCTTATTGGGTCACCCGGTACATTTATTCCACGTTAATGAACATTCTGATTTTTCTATCTAAAACCAAGAGATGACAACTAGTGGCATAACAGAATTGAAATAAATACATTACACTATGTATCAATGTCATATTGAAAGTTTTGACACAGTGGTAGCTTGATGATGCTTTATTTTTGCAATCTCTACACTTTCCTGAAAAATTTAGCTCGCGCTTACTATTTTCTTGCCGAACCAAACAAATAGGTATTACTAGATGGGAGAGAAGAGACTATAGGAGATTACCTACCCTACGATTATTTTTAAATATGTGTGTGGTAACGCTACACTTATTCAAACGATTGCATTTAAAATGTACCATATGCTCTTTAAAACGATGTTTAATTAATACTTTCTTTTTTGTTTCAGGGTAAGGCATAGTATTAACTTCTTGGTGTTCTCCGGTTCGGTAAGAAATTAATAATCTTGCAGTGTTTTCTCGTAATATAAATGTTGCCTTTTAAAGTAGTAACTAAACTAAGATAAATCACGTTTTACAGTTCTTAGTATTTATTGTTTATTAAAAGAATGCAATGTAATGAAGTGAAATGACGTGCAATTTCGTATTGTTTTAGTCTGAACTTGCTATCTTTTAACCCTACGCAAAAAAGTTTCAATGTTTAGATTATCATAGAAAACCTCATCCTTCTCTGTTGGCAAGAGTTAGCCAAGTATGCCCCATATCTAATTAGTGCAGTAGAAAAATTTAATCTCATGTCAGAGTAAGCTATGTTCTGCAAGAACTTTCTAGAGACAAGTTAAGAATCTTCGCATCAATAGCCAGAGAGATAGCTATACTCGAAGGGTTCACTTCCTTTGAGAATTATCGCGGCACTGATACATCACAGAAGAGGTGTAAAGTTTCCTTCCCGTAAAGGTGAATTATATTGGTGTTCATTAGTCAACCCGAATATATATATATATATATATATATATATATATATATATATTCCTATAATCTACGCGTAAGGGGTTGGCATGGCAGCAATCAGTGTGACTGGTCGTCTCCCGCGCTCAAGGGTCATGTAAACAAATATCGCGACTGCTTAACCGCGATTCTTGCCAATTAATGAGGTAATTCACCGGGGGGTGTTAGCCCCGAGCTGGCGCTTAACTCTCCTAGATCTCTCGACACTCCGGTTGGCGATTGGGGCTGAATGCGTCGTTGGAGATGGCTTCTTGAAGGGTTAAGATGCAGCTCATAGCTATTTGGGAAAGGGTTACGCTGCGCGCGCGTATATTATTTAGGATACACATCCCGCCTCGGTCCTCTGACCAGGACCCTCGGCCAATAGATTAGTAACGTCGATCTATGTCGGTATCTATGCCAGGTAGGGCAATCTACCTGGGAACAATCTCCAGGTCAAGCTCACCCCCTAACTCTTTTAGTTAACAATGAGTGTAACGTTATGACGTCTATCGTAAGATGTCGTGATATTATAAGTTTGGAATTAAACTAAACAGGTATTTGAATTTTGGTCAATTTTTGCTATCAAAAATGCTCATACGCATTCGTATTCGTACGCTTTGTGCGGATAAACATAATCCAAGCGATTGATTTAGAATTTATTTAATTGCGTTTTACGAAATTGAAATAAAAAAAATTGCAAAATTCCTATTGAGGATGAATTTTTTTAGAAAAAATATAGAACCGTAAGTTTTTCAATTTTTATTTCAAACTAATATTTCACAATATTTTAGTTTTTTTTTCGCACCGGATTTGGGCCCGATTTACATAACACTTGCACTCATTTCCCATTTGTAAGATGCAACTTCTGTTAAAATCGTAAAAATCCGGCCACAAATATAAAAGATAGCGTTGCACATGTACAATCCATTTTTGACGTGCTACTTCAACTTCAGTTTATAAGAAGAATTTCATTTCAATGCTTTTCTAAATAAGAAAGTTGGAACTGCGCATGCGCAAACCTACATTTTGAAACAAATGTTAGATTTTCCTTTGTTCCTATGCGTGTATGCTCCTATGTATCAAATTTCATTTAGCTTCCATCAATAAAAAAGTTGGCACTGGGTATGCGCAAAACCAAATTTTGAAATTGGCGTTAGATTTTCATTTATTCCAAGTGCCTATGTATCAAATTTCATTCAAATACTTTTATAAAAAAAAAGTTTGAAATTCGGTTTATAAATGGTCGAGATGCGAAAAGGGCACTGTGAATTTTGAATCGATTCGACTCAACTTTTGGCATTGAGTATTATATGGCTAAAGCATGCCCATATTGAATTTCATGCAATTCAGTTCATAACTAACGGAGATGTTAAAGCGATTAGACATTTCTAACCAAGTTATCGTTCACACGGACAGATAGAGGGACAGACAGACAGACCAACAGACAGCAATACAAAATTATAAACGATCTCTAGGATCGTTAATAAATGGCAAAAGTGTAAAATTAAAATAAAACGGTTTGTTGGTTTTTTTACAATAACTTTTTTAGCAATAAACGCAGAAAAAATTACTTCCTTTCTGCAAGCCTCGACACCATAACGAACCAAATAGCGAAAAAAGTAGAACAATAGCTCTTAAGATAAAGAACTAGTGGCGTCTCAACGAACGAGCGGACGGACAAAGTGGCCACAATAGCGCATTTTTTTTATTTTTGTGGAAATGCGCTAAAAACAACTTACTTCAGGAGTATTCGTCGACAGCAGAATCAGTACCTACTTCGTCAAAATTTAAAAGCATCTACAGGCGACGCACGTCAAGAAAAAATCAAGCACAAGGTTAGCTACAATTTCACCATTCATCATTTCTTTCATTTAAAATCTTCCATGCATATTAATACGTACAATTAGTTGAGAAGTACCTTTCTTTTTGGCGTTAATAGTCAAATGTACAATACTTAATTATTTCAAATTCATTTTGTACCTTCCACCTCATTCATATTTTGTTCTGATCCCTTCTTTAGTTAATTTTTTAATTGATGTGTTCCTTTCATTAAGAACAAGAAAAAAAACTAATTTGTAAAGGGTACTTGATACTTTTGTTTGAATTAAATATAAAAAAAAATTCATTTTGTTTTTATTGATCGCTATATAAAATAGCAAATTTGCTTATTCTGAGAATGTGTATCGATACATCTAAACCCAAGGATACTATATAATCAGCTTAAGTCTGGTGACCATTGTTTAGCAAACAATATTGGCTACAAAACAATTATTGTCTACTAATCAACTTCTTCTTACATTGGTAGTCTGGTGGCCACTGCATTTCAATTATCTAAACAATAATTGAATATGTAACCAACTTTCCAAACAAGTCCTTTTTACACTTGTTGTACTGTAAACAACATTGATTATTGTTTTTATTGGGAAATCTGCGTATTAAATTTTATATACTTAGTGTGATTGGGTGGTTAATTCGAAATGGCAGATTTTATGCTATTAATTTTTAATGTTATCAACAATGAAGAAAGGTACGTATGAATATGAATATTTACATACATGCATTTTACACTATAGTGTTGCGATTTAGGATTAGAATGAATTTAAACAGAAGACAACTTCGTGATATGAGTGATCCATTTTCGCTTACTGAAGAAACCTTCAAAGGAATTTATAGATTGTCCCGGCAGCTGACTCGTGATTTGATGACAGACTTATCACCCTTTCTGCAGGATAATGAAAGAGTTTTGGGCATTCCTAAACATTTAAAAGTATGTTCTAAATAATCGGATTATGTACATTCTTGTACCGTCCTATAAATGTTGTAGATTTTGGCCACATTAAATTTTTTGGCTCAAGGGTCTTATCAGAAGGCTGTTGGACAGGACTTCTTCTGTCCAATGAGCCAAAAGTCTGTAAGTCGATGTGTAGAGGAAGTAACAGGTGCTTTAGTTGAACATTTTGTGCATTTTCCTTCAACAGCAGCTGAAAAAACGCAAGAAAAACAATTGTAAGCGTTAATTTTAATTAGGTACATTTTTGGTTAAGTGAAATCTACTTGCAGATTTATGACCGTGCCGCATGGATTTCCAGGAATCATTGGAGCGGTTGACTGTACCCATGTTGCTATAATATCTCCCCCAGTTGAAGATCCTCAATATCCTGCCATAGTGTTTTTGAATAGAAAGGGATATTACAGCATTAATGTACAAATAGTAAGAAACTTTAGTATAGCATTAGTCCATTTTTTTTACATAGTCCAATCCATTTTCAGATTTGTAATGCACGTTTAAAAATTCTGGCAATCAATGCAAGATTCCCGGGATCCGTTCATGATGCTGGCATTTGGACAACAAGTATTGTTAAGAACCTTTTGCATACTTCTTATGAGAATGGAGATTCATCGTCATGGTTGATAGGTAAGTGAGGATGTCTAAGAATTAATACAAAATCATTTTGTTAGGAGATGCTGGTTATCCTTTAGAACCATGGCTCATGACTACTGCTCAGGTCACAACCTAACTGAGCCAGAAAGGCGGTATAATGTAGCACATAAAAGTATTCGAAATGTAATCGAACGGCTAAATGGTGTTCTGAAGACACGCTTTAGGTGCTTATCAAAGCATAGAGTATTACATTACAATCCAGCGAAATGTGCCAAACTTATATATGCATGTGCTATACTCCATAACATGTGCATACATAATGGTGAGATTGATATCGATATTGATCATAGTAAGTAGCTAATTTTAATTAAGTGAAATGAACACAGCTTTATTTCGTGTAGATGATGAAGAGGACAATAATGATGAACCTCGAAATGCAGAGAATGATCATAATAATTTACGTGAGGGAAGAATCATTCGAAACAGAATTATTCGAGATTATTTTCAATAGTATAATTCTCAAAATTTTGCCTTACATAATAGATAGCAGTCTCTTTACTGCTGCCAGAAACTCCTCTAAGGATTGTAATAAAATGTGCAATGTTAATGTCATTCTTTTGTTGTTTTTGATGTATTCCTCTACAGTTCTTAATACATTCTTACTCAACCGATTTCTTCTACTTCTTTCTAAAATGTGAAATTACAATTGACTATATCTAGATATATATTTGCAACCTACTTTTTTGTTTTGGTCTGTTTTCCAGTGATTTAGAAATTTTTTTAAAAATTACCTGTAGATGCATTGCAGTTATGAATAAATAAAATTTTAATTAGTTAATTTTAGCTTACTGTGCTTCGTTTACTATTGCATAATTCAGGAACATCCATACCACTGATTACAAGTTTAGTAATGATGTTTAAGAGCCAATTTTCAATTTCATTTAACTGTATATCAATAGGCATCCCACCACCTGTTTGTAACCGATGTACATACAACTCTCTGGCTTTTCTCTTTGTTCTCGAGGTCCATTCCGTAAAACTCTATAGAAAATTGAATACTTAAATATATCCTGAAAATAAAGAAAGGTAACTACACCTTTTTCCACTCCTCTACACTTTTGGTTGCCCCCTTTGAGTTATTAAGAATATTACATAACTTGGCAAATTCCTCAGTTGGTATCTCTGTTAGGCACTTAAATTTTTCTAACTGTTTTAAATAAATTTTAAATTGTTCAACAGTTATTTTTGTTTTTCTTTCTAAAATATATATTTATCAAAAGTTGTGTGTACAAAAAACAGTATACAATATGTAAATAAAAATTAAATTAATGACCAATCAATTTTAAGTATGTGCCTTTTTTTCAAAAATATCGCAAAATCTGTGGATACCTCGGGCAATTTCCTGTAGGGCAGAAGCAACCGCCAGAAGACCATCCCTTTGCTCAGCTTGTCCATGCGCGTAAGCATTGAGTAAGGGGTGTTTCATTGAACCTTAAAAAGTAATATATTGAATTATCATATTCGGAAACATTTATTTCTTACTCTTTGTGGTCTTTGGGGTAGCTCTTTTTATGTTCCCCTGAACCTTAGGAGTAGAGGATGGATCATCAACATCCTCAAAATCATCATCACACATTTCAATATGGGTTTCCTACAAGTATTGGGTTTAAAATATTAAAAGAATGTACCACATTTATGTATATAAATACCTGGTGCCCTGTCAGAGTTATTACTACATCGTCATCTGCATTAATCGGTGCTTCGGTGTCTTCAACACCTAGTTCTTGTACCGATGTAATTCCTGACACAGCCACAACACCTGTAGCTTCCAGATATCTTTTTTCCACTTCAGAGAGTAATTTTCCTTCTCGAGCTCTTTTTTTGACAAGAGACTTCCATTCAGTAAAAACCTACACAGTTATTAAGAAATAAGTTTAAAGCTATAACCAAACCGACTGACCTTTTTCCAGCCTTCCACCGTTCTTACAGGTCCACTCCCACAAGAATTTAATTCATCAACGAGAGACGTCCAAAGTTCTTGTAGGATTTCAGGGTTCATACCTGGCTTTAACCTGCCAGTCACGAATAATTTATTATTTTCCAAAGTGCGCACATAAATTTCAAACTGTTCTTTTGTTGTTCGTTTCTTAGCCATTTTAATACCTATTTTCAGAACTAATTATGTGATTTGGTTAATTTGATATATAAACGTAGATATATGGATAAATTGCATGTACTTTTGTGCCTATAAATCTGTAGCGTACTTTAAAGGTTATGTATTACACTCTACTAGAACTACAAAGGAGCATTTGGACTAAAAACAGCTAACTTCATACCATTATCATAATCAATAATCCATTCGATTTCAATATTGAAAATACGTTTACAATGTGGGATTCAGACTACCAAATTTAATCAATATTGTTAACTTCAAAGTTTTAATCTTACTTAGTAACTAATATTGTTTGCTAAACAATGGTCACCAGACTTAAGCTGAATATAAGGATTGCTCGATCACTGAATTTTTTCGCCGCGTGTAGTGACGTCACTCGCGGACCCAGTACCAGCGCATGCTTTGATTAAGGCCGATTCCCATTATAGCAGCATCGAGCAGCGCGGCGCGGTGAAAAGATGCTCTCAATTGTTCGCATGTAAATAAGTAGATCCGTTTTCACCTAGGCAGAGCGGAGCGTTGCAGCGCAGCAAATTTTAAACGCGTCGGGAAGCATTGGAATACGCGGCGCTGCTTTGAAACGCGCCCCTCTGCGTGTAGACGGACAAGTGAGAATAGAGGAGCGAAGCAGATCGGCGTGGTGCTGCGGCTTGTGGAAAGCATTTATTTGTCTTCTGTGTCGAGCTTGCGTGTGTTAGTGGATTCGCTATGGACGGACAAAGAATAGAAAAATTGATTTTACTCGTCCGCTTTCTTTTTCTCCTTTTTTCGTCGTGTACATGGCATAGTGCCGCTATAAATATTATGAAATCATCTGGTGATGATGACGATGATGGCTCTTCTTCGAGCGTGTAAGAATACATTCTCCCTTAAGGTCTAGCCACACATAAATGAGACGTGCACGATACGTGCACGAGACGAGTGTCGTGCGACGCTCGTTTTTAATTAATAGCACAGGTTTAAATACATTCAGCCTCACATGAACGTAACGAACACGAGACGACTACGAGATTCGGTTAACGACAACGAGCCGACGAGTTTTGTTTAATTTTTCTCGTGCCGGTGCCGCTGCGCGTATAGGTCCAGTATGTGTTTTTAGTGCAATTAGGTAGTACATAATTTCAGCGTCATTTGAATATTTACCTTTCCTAAAATGGATGTTGAGAAACTTATTGAAGAAGTGCGACGTTATCCCGTACTCTATGATCTCAGTAATAACAAATACAAAAATAATGAGTATAGAGAAAGGGTTTGGAAAAAAATTGCAGAAGATCTACAGGTAGAAGGTAAGTGAACCTTTTGATTTACTATTTTATTCAATTTTATTCTTATAAAGCTGTAGATATAATATTTTAGTCTATAGATTGTGCCCTATAGGTCTGTTGCTTTGTGTTGCCATTCTACCTGACCTGCTGGAGATACAAAGTAGGTTCTAAGGAGATCTCTAACTTGAAATGCTGCATTTGTTGCTCTTCCTCTAGTCGGACGTAAGCTTTGTAAATTTTCGGACGTTTCTAACGTACTATCACCTGAATCTGATACTCGTGCAATATGGGCGTATCCCTCACGTTGTCTTATAAAATTGTGCAAGACACAGGTAGCTAATATAATAACTGAAAGGTTTTCAGGTGTGCCCTTGTGACGTTAGAAAACAAAATGAGTTTAATGGTGCCACTGGCTCTACTCAGTTCCTGGGGGTGGCGGGGTCGTGGATACAAATATTTACAATTTCATTTAATTTTATTATATACTTTTTGGGCGCCAATCTGTCTTTAACTCACATGCCAACCGACAGATAAATCGACACGTATTATTGATTATAAAGTTAACCTAACACTTAATTAATTTATATCACAAAGTTACGATTGATGGTGGTTAGAATTATGCTGTACTAATGGTGAATGAAATGAGGTGAATGATGGTTAATTGGGTGATAACTCAGGTACAAACAATTATGAACACGGCGTTCTTTCTTATCTGTTTGTGGGTTTTCCGGAAAGGAATTGTGTACAGCCGAGCTGGCGGAGCAGGCTCTTGATTAAATTTGGAGGTCGCTGAATGCTGACAACGATGCTGATTAGTTCGATATCGAAAGGACTCGGTATTCACTCTCCGTGCTTCGGATTTACTTCAAATCTATCTACATTCTACCTTCTATGCACATTGGGGTAGAGAAAGCCCTAAAAATTACGCAGTATAGGAATGGACACGAACGCCCTTCTTTTACTTACTATAGATGGAAAACGGCTCGCGTTAACTTGGTCCGTTGTTAAATTTTTGGACGGCCAATACAACAATTATTATTTCTTCTAATGCAATTCTCGGGCCCCAGTCGATTCGCAATTTCTCTTAAACGCCTTTCTTTAATCTCCGCTACAAACACACTCTTTTTCCTTTTTGCTTGACGCAACCGCCTCTTTCCCAATCTACTTTCTCCCTCCAATTTTCCGCGCGCACGCCGATTTTAGACGTTACACCCTGTAATCTTCTTGTATATATACGAAACTTTTGTTGAAGAATTCCAAAAGCATTTTCTGAAACTCTCCTTGCACGAGAAAGGCGATAATTGAAGATTTTTTTTTCATTATCCAAGTTTGCTCCTGGATAAGGTCGCATTAAATAGGTTTTCAAAGGAAAGCCTTCATCACCAACAATTATCATGGGTAGGTCAACATCAGAACCTGGAAGCTTCTTGCCTCTTGGTATATTTATTGATCCATTTTCTAAAGACGTCCCAAGGTTTGAGTTGGAAAGTATGCCTGCATCAGAATTTTTGCCATAAGCCCCGACATCTACTGCAATAAAATTATACTGTGCATCTACTAGAGCTAAAAGAACCAAAGAAAACGTCTTTTGTAATTCCAATAAAGACTGCCGCTATTTTTAGGAGCTTGTATTACACAATGCTTGCCATCCAAAGCTCCGATGCAGTTAGGAAATTGCCACATTTTCCAAAAGTAATCTGCAATTGTATTCCATGTATCTTCATTAGGCACCGGCATAACCTCCTCTAAAAGAATGTCAACAATTATTCGGCATGTATGATGAATGATGGATTGCACAGTTGATCGACCCAATCTAAAGCTGAAAGATATTGTTTTGAAAGAATCCCCGGTTGCTAGGAATCTGGAACAAAAAAATAGTAAATTATATTATTATATTCATCGGTGATTGTTATGTAACTCATCATAAAATAACAGAGAAAATGTATATGGTTGTTTATTCATTGCAGGGGGGCCAATAACATGCAAAACAAAATGGATCCATATACGTGATCAGTTTCGCAGAATTTTAAAGAAAAGGAAAACTACAACAGGTATGGCTGCTGGCCCCGTAAGAAAATACAAATATGAAGATATTTTACAATTCATATTGCCCCAAATGTCTGAAAGAGAAACTTTATCAAATGTATCCCAGTCACAAGATGAAGATGCGGAAGGTGATGAAGATGATATAGAAGAGACCCAAGAGAGTGATACACTCCTTGCAGAAAATGACGAGTTGGAGAAGACAATAGAAAATGCTGAAAGAAACGCAAGCAATGATTCATTCATTCCCGAAGCCCATACACAAAAAGAAAAAGATTTCTGCTAACACAATCGATAAACGTCAAGATCAAAGTGCTTCATCTCAGCTGATGTCATATATTTTGGAAGAAAAGAGAAATGAAAGGCAGAAGCAACCTCCACCATCTTCTGAGCAGCTTCATCCAGTTGATGCATTTTTAAACGGCGTATCACACACATTGAAAGCCCTGAATCCAATACTCTTAAATGAAGGGAAGACAAAGATTTTTGGCATCGTTCAAGAGCTGGAAAGAAAGCAACTCCTGGATAATCAGTCAAAGGTTGTGCTACCTTCCCAAGTTCGAGTTGTTCACGTACCTCAAGCGTCACCACTAAGTACTTACTCTTCACCTAGTTCTTCTTATGCTTCCACCCCACTTCCTTCCCCTCAATACAATCTACCACTGCCTTCTCCAGAATATAATAACGCTACTCAATCAGAAATGCAGCAGAGCGACCAACACCACCAGCCACCATGGTATTAAATCATAAATGTAATATGTATGACAAGGTTTATTTTTCAAATAAACGTTAATAGAGCGGCCATATATTACTTGTAATCAGAGTGGATATATTTAGACCTACTTCATGCAAAAAATATACAAACAAAATACTCACCTCAAGCAAACTGCTAACCGCTGTTTAGGTTCAATTGCAGATCTCCAAAATGTATCTTGTTTTTTTAACTGATTTTCTACTTTTCCTAATAGATCTTGAAACGTTGCCTGTGTCATCCTAAAATATTCGTAGAACTTTGTTTCATCGTCTAGTAAATGTGGATACAGTGTTATAAATTCCCCTTCTGTATCCCTACTTTTCCAGGCATTATGGACCCATACTTTCTTCTTTGATTGAGTTTTATAATTATCCTCTTCATCTAGCGCCAAGGCTATTATAGCCAATTCAGTACTAGTAAAATTTGAAAACATCACTGAACCCTCAAACTAGGTTAGGTATACTATCGCTCGCAACGGGTCTACGTTACAGTGTGACTGGGACGTCAAGGGACGGAGCTCGTGCCGGCACTCGTCTCGCGCTCGTATCGTACACGTCTCGTTTATGTGTGGCTAGACCTTTAAACTGAACACAAACAGACACGCTGCTTCGTCACGCTTCCAAATGGTGCTTAAGTGGGAATACCCCTCTACAATTTGCTGCTAGCGACGCGCCGCGCTGCTCTGCGCCGCACCGCTCGGAGCTGCTCTAATGAGAATCGACCTTTAGGATTACCATAAAATACGTCCAAATGGGTGTTGTAGGCAGGCATTTAAATTAGAAACACTTGTCCATTAATCTCGCTTGTAGCACCATATCCATACTTTGCGTATTAATCCATCAGTTTTAGGGAAGTTATGGTAAATGACTTCCGGGTTAGTGATTTTTGTGCAAACACGGCTGTTGTTACAGTCTAATATTGCACATCGGCGTCCTGGCGTTCATGCAAATACGTTCACAACTTAGCAAATTATAACTGTCAATTCTGACAGCCCGGTCCGTTGGTGACGTCACATATGACTTAAACTTGGGCAACATTACAAGTATAGGGATCGAGCAATCCTTATATTATATAGTATCCTTGATCTAAACCTAACCTTAACTTATTACCTTTTATTTATGCTTATTACCGTTGATGCATATTTATCAATCAACGTTATTACTTTAATCGTCCACCCTCCGCCAAACTGAAAAATAAAGCCGAAACGTTTGGAAGTGTTCTCCACATTTGTTTTTTGTGTATGTTTCCTGCTTTTTTAATTGCAGTTTCTGTAGTCTGTAGTTTAGTTCAAAAACATGGAACAACAACAAAGGACGCCCAAGAAGTCTTGTGTACCCCAATGTGATAATAAATGAGGCAAAAAGCATCGATTTCCGGTGAAAAGTGCGGAACTGTGCAAGCTGTGGAAAGACAAAATAAGCAACCCAGCTTTGGCAAGTTTATCCGATGAAGCTATTTATGAAAGCTATCGTGTATGTGATGTGTATTTCAAAGAAGATGTTAAGACCGGAGGCAAACGTGGTTTGTTGCCATTCGCGTATCCTACATTGTTTTTATCAACAGATGCTGATGCAAACAAAGAATATGTGGCCCCACGTTGGGCGCCAAATTTTATCACGCCAATAGCGATCATTAAATATAAAAAAATTCCTTTCGTTTTTATTGATCGCTATTGGCGTGATATGAGGGCTTTATTTTTCGTATTGAGTCGACACCATGATCTACTCGAGCGAGTAGATCACTCAGCGGTATAATCGACGTGAGCTACCAGCGGGACCGCGTCATAGGCACATGCACACAATGCACTCTAAAAACCTAGGAATATATCCGGATATCTGCGAGGAGTTTTACTTAATAGCCCAACAACAAAGCACGACCAGCACGATGACCTGCACAATACACTCACCGCCTACACGTGGGAGACACTCACATTAAAGGGCTATTACGCCAAACTCACTAATACATCCGATGCTCTACTTAGCATCCCTTGTATGATCGTGACCAGAGCGCGTACGCAATTTAACTGCCTATAACACGATCCCTTAAGACCCTTGCACCCATTTGTGCAGAATCGCGCATACTTGACCAGCCAGCTTGCCACATTTATCAAATAGGGTTTGCGTTGACATTTTACTTTTTCGTTATTAAGGACAAGCAAGCTGGCTGGTCAAGTATGCGCGATTCTGCACAAATGGGTGCAAGGGTCTTAAGGGATCGTGTTGTAGGCAGTTAAATTGCGTACGCGCTCTGGTCACGATCATACAAGGGATGCCAAGTTTTAGGAAAGTTAAATATTAGTTCAAACTTTTTGATTCGGAGTTTTCTGTACGTCTTGATAAGGTGTAAAGTTTCTTTCCCGTAAAGGTGAATTATATTGTTGTTCAGGCTTCCACGAGTGTTTGTATTTATGAAGTTTACTCATTTTTGAGTCAACCCTACCAGCTTCAACTAATACCTCGGGAGAAATCTTCTAAATGCCCGAAGCTGTACGGATTACCGAAAATTCACAAAGATGGTGCACCACTAAGACCTATCGTCAGTTAAATTGGTTCTCCACTACAACCACTGGCGACAAGGTCTACATCGGCCAAACCAACAGGCGCATCAACGTCCGACGAAAAGAACACCGTAACGCAGTGCAGAAAAACATCTCCACATCATCCTTGGCACAACTTACTAGCAGCAAGCACACACCATCGCATTCCAGGACACCACAATGACCGCCAACGTCCAAAACAAGATCAGAAGGATAATTCGAGAAGGTATCCTGATTGAAGTACACGAACGTAACCTCAACACTCGAAATGCTTCTCAAAGGTTACCTTCTACATGGAAAATCGCACTATCCAAGCAACGCCGCCCGACGAAGCGAAGTCGAGCAGAGCAGTTGGAGTCTTGAAAATGGCATAAATAGCAACGATAACGATCATTAATAAATGGCACAAGATCTGAGCAATTTTAAAACAGATTTGGAAACTGGTCCGTATCGTGTATTGAATCATCACGGGCGCTGTTTAAAGAATTTCTGATGATTTCGACAATGACGACAATAGCATTTGATTGCAAGTCCAATTTAATTCGATGCTGATCATATCAACAAAGGACAACTGTTGCATGTCTTCAATAGACGGGCAAAGTTGGACACTTTCTCCATGGAAATCTGTGCTGCATGAAAGTCAAGGCGTTTTTTTTTCAAAGGTCAAATAGAGAAATTTAAGATGTGAAAGTTATTTAACTGAAAAAGATCAGTGATTATGAACCTAATGCAGTTCAACTCAGACTAAGCGAAGAAATTGTTTCTGAAGAACAGCGAATATAACTGCGGTTACAAGTAAATCTTAAAAGCGTCAATACAAATTTTGTTACAATAAAATTGCTTCTTATGTTACAGATAATTGCTGATCAACAAAAAGAAATTGCCACTTGGAGAAGTTAGTAATCACCTTTTCGAAAGCCGATCGCCTGACAGCTTCCAATTTTTTTGTATGGCAAACTAAAAGAACCAGTTGCAATTTCAAAATTGGAAAATGCTTTGGGTGTAAAAGTAAATCCCGCAGGACTTTTTGTTGATACTGAGTACTGATATTTGGCAGCTTCTCCTGATGGTAATTTTTACAGTGATCTAATACGTTTATATTGTTTAAATTACTGATTTAGTTGGCGATAACTATGTAGTTCAAGTGAAGTGTTTGCATTCAGTCCACAAATCTGGAAAAGCACTATATGAAGCCATTGCTACACTAAACACTTGTTTGGAAATTGATAATTGTGGTAATACGTAAAGTTAAAACGCAACTATAATAATTACTTATACTCTAACTCTTTACTTATCTACAGTTTATTTCTCAATTAAAGATACAGGGTCAAGTGAATATTTGACAACGTGACAAGTGCTATTTTGTGGTTTATGTAAATGACTATCTTCTCTCCATATTGAAACTATAGAAAGAGACCGTTTGTTATGGATAAATCTGATGTTACCTAAGCTAACAAGGTTTTATGTAAAGTGCATACTAAAAATGAATACTGCTATCTATGAATCTACACAACACACTCTTGCATATCTGATCTTGGACATGAACAGCGAACCCCTAAGGATATGCGACGAGATCTACGACAAATCTCCGAGACCAACAACTGAAGCACGCTGATTACCCCATACTTAGTGACTTTGATGGGAATCCTTCAGGAAGCACGAAGTAATCACGAGAAATCCACCAAGATTGCAGAAACGTGCACTAGGAGCAGCATCGCGGAAATTTGTAAGTAGTGACAACAAGCATATGTTATATCCTCAGTGAAGTATCCCAATGTCCCTCTTGGGAAGTATCATGTGCCAGCCTTACCGCCGTATTTGGGCGAAGAAATGACTGGCGTCGACCGCCTACTGCGCAGACGTGGAATACCGTTACGAGAAAGGGGGATCCACATCGAAAAATACCAGGAAATCTAATATGTAACTACGACCTCCACATCTGAGACGTAAATGTGGGGGAGACTGTAACGAACCATTTTGCTACGCAACTGCCTTCAGCCGTGACACATTCAATGGGATATGAAAAAAAATTGCTGTGCGTAGCACAGGTGGGGTCCAGATGATTCAAAGAATGCTGAATTCATAGAATGCCAATCCATATAACGATACATAATAGAATGTTGAATTCATATACAAATTGATTCATAGAACGGTTGATTCATCGAATTGCAGATCCATATACAATCTGATTCATAGAATGGTTTATTCATCGAATTGCAGACTCAACGAAATCTGAATTTGTATAGTGCAATCAAAGAGTTGTTATAATCAATGGTATGTTTAGACAAAAAAATTCCAAATCGTCATTTATGCACAATTTATTATCGCTCCGGCCTAATAGTATTTGTGAAAGCAAATACAATTATCAATCCCTAATCGATTCAAATTAGATATAATGGGGCCTCCTGGATAATTTGCTTAATTAATTACATAGATGATAAGTACATCATTACCTAAGACAATAACTAACTACCTCATTACATAGGGGGTACCTCATTAAATTGATGGTGTGAAAGTACAACAATCACCCCTTATAAAGCTTACACTTCCCCGACTATTACTAGTTCAATAGTCATTTTTGAATAGACAACTACGCGATGGCTACATTCTTTACAAGCGAACGGAAAAAGCAGAAGATGGTTTGGGAAGGCTTCGTTTACAACTTGAACAAAGATCCAGGCAAAGGTCGTCGGTACTGGATTTGCGAGGAATACTTCACAAGTGTGAAATGTGTTGGGAGAGCCATTACCGATGGAGATAATGTCGTTACCGTTACAAAAACGCATTATGGGCATGCTCCTTCGGCCGTAGCCGTTCAAGCAAAACAAGTGCGCAGTAAAATTCAAGAGGTTGCTGGAGATCCAGGAAATAGGAACGCCCCTCGGACTGTTGTGAACGAGTGTCTGGCGGGGACCAGTGACGCAGCTATTGCAATTCATCCGAAATTGACATCACTAGAACAAGCAGTTCGCCGTAAGCGCAAATTTGGAGGCGCTAATGAGGATATCCCTAACTCACTTGCTGACGTTTATTTCC